TGATATGACCGTTGGCAACGGTCAACTTCAATTTGGCCGTTGCCCAACGGGTTGATTGCAAAAAATAGCCCTTTTTTGGGCAATTATGTTTAAAAAATAACACTTTTAGTAATTACTAATTTAGCCCTTTGAAAAACTATAAATACACCCCCTCTCCCTCTTCTTCATTTCTTCACTCATCTCTCATTTCTCAAACTCATATTCTCAATTATCATTCTCTCATTCTTCACCTAAAGTGCAATCAACTATTTGACTCTCATTATTTTTGGAATTTAATTTATCGTATTATTTATTATTTGAAGTTTGAATAATTGAACTTCAAACTTTGAACAATTGACGTTTCTTCGTGGTAACATTGGAGTTGCAAAATATAGTTGATAATGATGCTTTTAATGTAGGCAATGTTAATCCCACTATGCATTGTACCACTTCTACTACTATGGATGATGATGAAGGCCTTGATGATTTTAATATTTGGTCTACATTTCCTACCACTCAAACTAGTAGCAGGAACATTGATGAACTTCAATTCTACTTGTAAAAGCAAAAAGAGCCTCGCACAAAGGAATTCTACTTGCAAAAGCAAAAAGAGCCTCGCACAAAGCAAATTTTTTTCAATCTTCATTGTATTCTATTATCTTAAATTCTTAATGAAATATTCAAAATTTCAAATATAATGATTTTAAAACCTTTGCATCCTTTTATTCAAACACTCTTTTTATAAGATTATTTTTTGTTTTATATTTTTACTTTATATTAATATAAATTACGATAGTTATACAAAATATAAAATAAAAAAATAACATTAACCCGGCCCGACCTCTTGGACCCGTAACCGTTCCAGTTCATTTTTTACCCGGATAGACCCGGACCCGTTAAGCTCGGTATGAAAAAACCGGTAACCGGCTCAGATTAAAAACCGGTCGGTCACCTTTTTTCTCAACCCAGCCCGGCCCGGCCCACCCGTTAAATACCTTTAACCATCACCATGTGCCTCTGCTGAAGGCATAATATTTGCTACCCTAACCACTATGTTCATTATTTACTCTGGTATATCTGTTCTATCTGCACTTGCTTCTTTCTTTTTGATTGATGTCAAAGGGGAAAAAAATATGAGAGTAAAGCAGAGAAACAACTCAGGGGGAGCAACACTTCAGTACAGGGAAACAACTCAGAAGGAGCAACATTTTAGGACATGAAAGGGAAGTGTACTCTGTTTACTCTTTTTTGATTATCATCATCAAAAAGGGGGAGATTGTTACACTTAAGTTTCAATGATGACAATAGTGCAAATCTAATTGTATCTGTTTAATTGTAGAAAATTAGGAGGGCAATGCTCAATCAAAGGAAGTCAAATATGTCAAGGATATAAAAAAGGAAACAAGATCAAATACATCATGGACAATGCTAAATCAAAGGATGTCAAGGCCATCAAAAAGAAAACAAGATCAAGTGCAGTCGCTATATGAAGACAATCCTTACTTCAAGGATCGATTTGGAATTTGGAGATTGTGAAGATTGATCGATCAAGTCAAACCACAAATCACTCCCTTGATTATGAATACAAAAATGAAGGAAGTTAATGAATCCAGCCCATCTCTTGAGCAGGATTCTGAGGCATCCCTTGGGTCAAATCTATTAGAATATTTTGTGCCTCAATCAAGGGTCAATCTGCAACGGCTACTCAAGACTCTTGTATAAGAAGACTGGAAGACTCAAGAATTCAATTACACAATTGACCACTATTTTTTATGCCTTTCTAGTTCTTAGCACAAACACTGTATTCCGGAGTTTACTAGTGTCTCAAAAGATAGGAAGTGTTAGGAAACAAAACAAGAGTTGTGTCAAGTTTGTAAAACATCATTGCTGAAAATTATTGGTGGTAAACGATCCAAAAACCACTACTACTGTAACAAACTATTGAAGATCTAAGAGAACCCTTGTGACCCAAGGGAACTGGATGTAGGTACCACATCGGTACTGAACCAGTATAAAGCTCCTGTGTTCTTAACTTTTAAATTTCTAGTAATTTATTTTCATCGTCAATCAAATCTGCTGATAAAGTGAAGTCGACTAATTCTCTTCTGAGTCGACTAAGTTTTTAATTTAGTTACAATTCACCCCCTCCCCCTCCCC